ACATGCTATAAAGCTGAAAATAATAGTGCTAACAATGCTAATAAAATAACAACTTTGAAACAAACACTGATAATAAACTAACAGGCGAGGACATCAGCACCCTCAAACTAGCTCATACGTCAACATGCTCTATGCTTCTTCGACTGTTCTGCTCCTCAAACACCTGAACCTTATCACGAAAGACTAGAAAACTCGATCGAGCCAACGGTTTTGTAAACCCATCAGCAACCTCAGAATCAGCAGGAACATAATTGACCCGCAGTGTATTATCCGCAACCTTTTCCCTCACAAAATGCACGACCAATTCAACATGTTTCGATCGTGCATGGAAAACGGGGTTGGCGCTCATAGCAACGGCGCTAGTGTTATCACTCCACACCACAGCTGGAAGAAACACCCATGTCCGAGAGCAGCACCCTCAACCAAACAATTTCAGAAATGGCATCGGCAATGCTGCGATATTCAGCTTCAATTGTAGAAAGTGAGACTGACTTCTGCTTGCGGAACCGCAACAAAACAGGATTATCACCTAAGAACACACACGACCCCAACATCGAACGCCTATCGTCGGGATTACTCGCCCAATCGGCATCGGCGAAAGCAACGATACTGGTAGGTTAACTAGAAGAACTAAACACAAGGCCAAAATCCAAAGTACCTTTTAAGTAGCGCAATATCCGTTTTACTGCCATCTAGTGAAGATCGCACGGATGATGTATATATTCCGCGACATGATTCACACTAAATGCCACATCTGGTCTCGTATGACTGAGATATAGGAGGGATTCAACCACACTCCTGTACAACTGAGCATCGGTCAAAGGAGCACCAGCCTCTTGAATCAATTTCGGTGTAACCACCATAGGCGTCGGAACTGGTTTTGCATGGCTCATATTCGTTCGTTCAAGAAATTCAGTGACGAACTTGCGCTGACTGAGAACCAATCTGCGAGGAGTCCTCTGAACTTCAAGTCAAAGGAAATAGTTAAGCTCCCCGATGTCTTTAAGCGAGAACTTCGACCCCAAAGATCGAACGACACCTTCAATAGCCTTGATCGACCGTCCGGTGACAATAATATCATCGATGTAAATCAAAACATACGTCCGTTCACCATTTAGTTAAATCGTTTTTTAATGATCTTTCTCTAAAAATAAATTTTTATTTGAGATGTTATGTTTTTCAAATTTGAGTCATAAAATTTACGAATTAAAAAAATCGTGGTCGAGACGCTACAATAATCTTCATTGACAGCTCAATTCTTCGTTAATATACATTTAATACCAAATGATTGAGAATTTTTAAACAAACACTATTTTATATTCATCTCATACCAATAAAAATAATAATTTTTCTCTACGTATCTGTCATCGGAAATTCTCAAGTTTCTTCTTTGTTATAATTTCCAGCAGACCAACAGCAGACCAATAAGGTTAGTGAAAATGAGATTAAGGAGGCTCTATTTAGGCAAGGGAAGGATAAAAGAGTCATGGCCCTGATGGATATACCTCTTGGTTCTTCAAGGCTGCCTGGGATATAGTTGGAACTGATTTTTTGGCTGCTATGAGGTATATCTTTCAATCCTCTTCCTTACTACCTGCTTTTAATACTATAACCATAGTCTTTTAATGCATGCATGACAAAGGAATTTAGACCTATTTCTTGTTGTTCAGTGGTCTATAAAAACATTACAAGAATCCTTGTTAAAGACTACTCTAGGAAAAGTCTTTCACCTAGATGTGCAATTAAAATTGACTTGTAAAAAGCATTCGATTTTGTTAATTGAGATTTCTTGCTGACTGTCCTAAAGGCTATGAGCCTCCCTGGTGAATTTTGTAACTGGATTAAGGCTTGTGTTACTACTCCCAAGTACTCAGTTTCTTTGAATGGTAGTTTGGTGGGGTACTTTAAAGGTGCAAAAGGGATTAGGAAAGGAGATCCACTATCTCCTTACCTATTTGTCATTGTTATGAATGTCCTATCTTCCTCGTTGGATGTTGCTGCAAAAAAGGGAATTTTTAAATTTCATCCTAAGTGTAAGAGAATCTCTCTTACTCATCTTTGTTTTGCAGATGATTTGTTGGTATTTTGTCATGGTTCCCTTGATGCTGTGTTGGGAGTTCAAAATACCTTAGAGAAATTCTATGAACTGTCTGGTCTTAGATTGAATGCCCTAAAGACAGAGTTTTTTGCTTGTGGATTGAATGAGCATGAACTTGAGCAGATTCGATTGAACTGGTTTAGGGTGGGGCAACTCCCTGTTAGGTATCTTGGGGTGCCTTTATTGACTCGAAAACTTACAGGGAAAGATTGTGCAGCTCTGTTGGTAATGATTAAAGATAAGCTCAACCAATGGTCTAATAAGAAGCTGAGTTTTGGTGGACGGCTGCAGCTTGTTAAAACTGTATTGTTCAACATTTTCAACTATTAGAGTAGGCAGCTCATCCTCCCTAAGGGGATCATTAGGGACATTGAGAGACTTTGTATGCATTTCTTTTGGAAGGGTAGTGACACCTCAGCTAGAGGAGCTCGAGTGAGTTGGAGCTAGGTATGTTCCTTGAGATATGAGGGTGGTTTTGGGGCTTAGAAACCTTGTTGTCTGGAGTAGAGCTTGCTGTCTTTTGCTTGTTAAGAATATTTTGGCAGGTGAAGGTTCATTTTGGATTGCTTGGGTTAATGAATATTGTTTTAGATCTGTGAGTTATTGGGAGGTAGAGTATAAGGCTCATTTCAGCTAGATCTTAAGTAAGCTACTAAAAATGCGAGAGGAGGCTAGGAGATTGTTCTATCCTTGTGTTAATTGGAGTCAAATTAAGGGTAGTTCGATATGGGATAACATTCGATACATGAGGGAGAAGGTGAGCTGACATCGGCTTATTTGGTTCTCTGCTCATATCCCTAAGTTTTCTCTAATCTCTTGGATGGCCATTCTTGATAGGTTGCCTACTAAAGACAGACTTGCACGGTTTGGCATGGCTATTGATAATGTATGTGAGGTGTGTGATATTGGGATGGAATCTCGAGACCATCTCTTCTCTGAATGTTCCTATGGAAGGGAAGTGTGGGGTGTTGTTTTACACTCATGTGGGCTTCGACATGAGCCATACAGTTGGGATGAAGGTTTTCGCTGGTTGATTGTGAATTTGAAGTGCAAGTCTCTCATAGTGCATATTCTTAAGCTAGCTTGGACTGGATTTGTGCACTTTATTTGGGAAGAGCGCAATCATAGGCATTTTAGGGGTTTGCTTCGTTCGGTTGATACAACTGTGAGTAAGATAAAGGAGTCAATGAAAATTAAATTGTATAGATGTTGCATGTATAGGCTTGATGATGTAAATAGGCATTTGTGCATAAATTGAGGGTTGATCTAGTTGTTGAGGGTTTGTTATGTTTCTTGTAGCAACTATTCTACTTTTATTTTTGGATGAATATAATTTACTTATCAAAAAAAATTCCCAACGGACGATAGAAAATAAGATATTTTATTTCCATACGAAAATGACATTGGAATATAATAAGTAACTAAGTAGACAGGAAATAAAAAATTCGAATAATGTTTTATATCGATAAGCAAAGCTTACATAACACTCCACTTGGCATAATTGCAACTAAATATTTCGATTTCAATATCATCAGCATGAAGTTTATCACTAACCCTATAGTTTTTGTCATTTTATAGATATGTATTATTATATAATTAGTTTAACTATAATCTAAGCTGCAAATTATTATATTAAAACAAGTGAACATAAATTTTAGATTAAAACATGCCTTGTTAGTTTCAAGGTGGATGTTGAGATTAAGCTAGTTAATTAAATATATACTATAATTTTGGAGTTTCGAGACATAAGAGACAGGACAGCGTGACGACAATTGTATTAAAATTTTAATGCATGCTTACGAGGTTGAAACAGTATTATTAGGTTGTCTGTATTACGAAACCCACGCATTCAATTATTATTAAAATGAATTGCTGGTTTTATAATTAGAATTATTATTTGAGTAAACTACACAAATGGTCACTAATGTTTAAGTAAGTTTTCGTTTTTACTACTGATATTTCAAAAGTTACAAATCGATCACTAACTTTATTATTTGTTATAAATTGGTCACTCAACGTTAACGGCCGTTACTGTGGGTGACGGAAAACTGACATGACTTGTTAACCACTGATTTAGCATCGTTTGACCATTATTTTAACCTACTCGTCTCTTCCATCTCCACTCTCTCATCTTCATACTTATTTTTAACTCAAAATCCACCATTTTCATATGCCTTCCTTCTTCAATCTTCATCTTTGTCAAATATTCCTCACGACACGAGAATCATAAAAAAAGCCTGAACACTGTATGACAATGATAAATATAATTAGCATCTAGATTGCAAAGGAAGAAATCATAAAAACTGAACATTTAAAAGAACTTTTAAATACATGGAATATCTGAGTATTGGGACATAACCCTCCAAGGACAATCCAAATCCATGGGAAAACCTTCAAAAGTTTAAACATACTTGTGTCTAACACTCGCACCCGAGTCCAAGTAAAGTAGCTTATTGCTTAGTCGATTGAACATTCGTTGGGTGGAAAACATTTTATTTTATTTCCAATGGTTTCCCTTAAGTAAGCATTTGTATTCAGTTTTAATATCAACTAAAAGAAGACCAAAAAGAATTGAATAAAGTCAAAATGATCCCATTACTTCTCTAATGCATAAGCTAAGAAATACAAGGCTCGAAATGAAGATCATGGCCTGAACAATCAAAGAGCATGATTCTAACTCAGCCAGCACATTTTGCACCCAATTGGATCTGAAGTAAAAATATTAATTAAGATCCCAAGTTCTCACTAAACAAACAAAAAACACAAAAAAAGAATGGAAAAAGCACTCAGGTAATCAAAAAATCCAGCTAAAGAAACAAAGCCCAGAATTTATTGTTTATGTTTCATCCGGTTCAAAGTAAATTACCCTATTACCACTCTCTCTTAATGTTTTACTCATGGCGTTTCTCTAATTTGAAGCTCCGGCACCACAGAAGGGCTGCAGAAGCTGGTACCCTTTACTCACCATAGCTCCGAGACCACTTTACAGATTTTTAGGTTAGAAGCAGCTTATAGGTCAAGGTATTTAATTTCATGGTTTCAATCGTCAGTTTACTAGTGCTTTTTAATTTTGTCAGCAATGGATAAATGAAGTTGCTTTCCTATTGGTTGTTGATTCTTTTTATTATTTGTAAAGGGTTTATCCAACAAGGGAGGGTGGAAGAATCCTGGAATTCATATACAGTAGTAAACAGTTCAAAACAAAGGGTGGATTAACAGCGGGAACAACAACCACCCGTTATTATGGTAGTGAAGAATTCAAAATCAAACAACAAAAGACTAAGGTGTCTTTTGGTTGGCATGAATTCCTTGGAATTGGGGGAATTGGAATCCAATTTTACCAATTTCTTATGTTTGGTTCAAGTTTTCCAAAGGAATTAGAATCCCTCATGGCTTCAACTTTCCATCAAACGAGAGAAAGTGAATTTCATCCAAGAATTGATATAATTCAATTCCTTTGTTGGAGGGAATTGAAATTTGATCATACTACAATCATCAATCTTTTGGTAACTTATTCATATATTGAATAAAAATATTATTATTATTATTTCGGGTCGGGTGAAACTTTATTTTGGTCGGGTCGGGTCGTTTTTTAAGTGTGATATTCGGGTCGGGTCGAGTTCGGGTTTAGGGTGAAAAATACTCGACCCGAAAATATATATATAATTTTACCTTATATATTTAGGAATAATTACAATAACATCCCTCTATATATAATTTTTTTCAATTAAGTCATTGTTTTTATTGAATAAAAATGATTTTTTTTTTTATTTCAGGTCGGGTCGGGTTGGATTTCTAATTCATATATTCGGGTCGGGTCGGGTGAAACTTTATTTTGTTCGGGTCGGGTCAGGTTTTTTAAGTGTGATATTCGGGTCGAGTCGGAGTTTTTTAAGTGTGATATTCGGGTCGGGTTTTTTTAAGTGTGATATTCGGGTCATGTCGAGTTTAGGGTGAAAAAAACCGGACCCGACCCGAAAAAAATATATAATTTTACCTTATATATTTAGGAATAATTACAATAATACCCCTCTATATATAATTTTTTTCAATTAAGTCAATGTTTTTATTGAATAAAAATAATTTTTTTATTATTTCATGTCGTGTCGGGTCGGGTTTCTAATTCATATATTGAATAAAAATAGTTTTTGGTATATTTTTTGGTAATTAATTAACATACTCCGATTGGAATGTATCGAAATATTATTCTATCTTTTGGTAACTTATTAACATATTTTGATTGCGATGATTTTAACTTATGATGTTTATTAGCATGTTTTTTATAATTTATTGAAATGAATAATCAATCAATAAAATGAAAATTTAATATTTTTTAATTTTTATAATATATTATTACATGTAAGTTGTAAAAAAACTAAAATAAAGCAAAAAAAATAAGGACAATTTTGTTATTTTACATTACTGAAATCAAATTCATCTGACATGTCTGCGAACCAAATAAAATATGGAATTGGATTCTAATTCCCGACAAATTTCAATTCCTTCACAGATTCCAATTCCTTCACAGATTTCAATTCCCTCATGAACATTCAAGCGAACCAAACGCCACCTAAGTGATTCACTTGCAGTCCACATGAAGTGATTTCCGGCAGGGACTATAAACAATCTACTTACTGACATCTCTTGCTCAGTCTCTTCTTCTCCGATCCAGTCGAGTTCATCGCCTCGACCTTTGCTTATAGCATAGTCCAGGCCTTCTCCTGTTTTGAAGTTCAATGGGGCGAGCTATGTAGTGATATCAAGGACGGGACTCTGAGCTCGATGATAACACTGCCTCGGATACGAAAAGCCGTGCTGGATATCATGTCTTTGAACCCAAACCCGTGTTTAGCATCACAGATCGAAGAAATTTGCAGGGAGTATAGAACTTCAAACTGGTACGGCATCATCCCTTAGTTATGGCCAAATGCAAAGTATGTTTATTCTATCATGACCGGCGCAATGCAACCCTACATTAAAAAGCATAGGCATTATGTGGCTTCGTTGCCGCTGGTGAGCGCTGATTACGGCTTGACCGAGGGATGGATTGGGGTGAATCTTGTCGACTTCACGAGCCATGCGGATGTGGTGCATCAACTGGGGCACTACATGATTTACTAGGAAATTAAAGGAGATGTGGTGCATCATGTCAGCTTTCCGTCACCCATAATAATAACGGTTGTTAACGTCGAATGACCAATTTATAATAAACGATAACATTAATGACCGATTTGTGACTTTTGAAACATCAATACTGAAAAGGAAAACTTACTCAAACATTAGTAAACATTTGAGTAGTTTACCCTTATTATTTAATCATGCACGGTTGTTTTATTTAATTCCTATAAAAATAAACAATCTATAAAAATAAGGTAGAAATTGGTGTAATATATTTTTGGTATAATGTTAAAAATATCCCTAATGTTCGATTAAATAATTATTATGGTCCTTATTCTTTATTTTAAAGCATTTTGGTACCCTAACATTTTTTTTGAGGCAAAAAATACCTTTTTATTGATAGAAATCGTTAGTTAAGAAATTGTTAATGTTCCAAAACAGGATCTTTTTACCCTAGATGAAATGTTGAGTGCCAAATGCTCTAGAAAAAAATAAGGGTCAAAATAACTATCGATCAAACATTAGGGGTATTTTTACCTTAAAATGAACGTTTTAAGCTAAAATATTCTAAAAAATGAATAGGAGCTAAAATGATCATTTTAGTAAATGATGATAAGTTGGGTTGGGTTTTTGGCTCACCCGAACTTGATTCAAATATTATATCTCTTTATTTATCACTTGATTTGATTTGGGTTTAGAGAGATTTCATTTGATCTAATCTATTTTTGAGATAAAAAACTTATACTCGATCCGATCTAATATATATATATATATTATTTTTTATTAGGTAAAACAAAATCTAATTAAAAGTAGCTTTTAAAAAAGCCGATTAAAATATAAAAATTATATTATTATAATTATCCATAAATATAAAGTAGATAATTATATTATTATCTTAAATTAAACCGAACATTTTTTTACCCTAAACTCGAATTTAATCTAACCCAATTTGGTATCATCTTTCAAAAACAACGGACTGATTTTACCTGAATATTTTTCTTTTAAAAAAACTCAATCTTATAAAATTAGAACCCTTCGAATTCGACTTAAATTCCATCCCTATTCGTAATAACACGGAAAGGTTATCTAAACTTGATCATTTTGCTCGGCCATAATATCTAGTTTTGGCCCAAGGAACTATACGCAGATCCTTGTCAAGAATCGGGCCAAAGAAAGTAAACCCAACCTAATAATGTATGCTTGAGTTACGTAACATGTCACTCTTTTATTAAAAAAATTACAATTGGGTCATCTTATTTTTAAAACTCACAATTAAGGCAATCGCAACAATTAGGCCACCTTACAGTTAAATCTAAAATAGAAATTAACTTCTTATGTACATTTTGATCATTCAATTATGAGTAAGATTATATTTTAGTTACTTAAATTTTATTTGTGAGTCAATAATTTTGAATTTTCTTTTCTAATTTGTAACCCCCTAGATCCGGCCTGGACGTTATGACAAAATCCAGGCGGTCACATATCGTATTCAGAAGTTCTTTTCATATTTAAAACATCATTGAAATCCATATAACAATATAATAAGAAACTAACCATTAGTAAGATTCATACGATAAACATATATATACATATATCGGAAAGACCATATAAAACATATTGTTCGCGTGTTGTGAGTACTATAAAATATACGCAAATAATGTGCAAGTATACACAATCGCTCAAGTAATATAATGATGAGTGAGTATCGTCTCCACAGGGATTGGGTGAAATCACAAAAGTCTAACCAAAGCAATGCACTAAATTATCTAAGTATAGTTAGTCTTGATATATACAAATGTCACGGCAATGGATATGTGTATGCTGGTGGATGCGGATTGATGGTGTGATGGTGTAACAAATGGAAATGCAGTGGCAATGATGGATGTTTAATGTTGAGTATGGTGAAATGTTGAGGCAATGAGAATTGGTAAAAACTGTAACTAAAAAGATAAGTAAAATAAGAAGAAAATAATCCTCACGTGACAAGCTTCTAATGAAATGAATGGTAAGGATTGGTCTAAGGTTGCTAAACTTATTTCTCAAGTATATCTAAGCTATCTTGTCTTTACTTACTCGACAGGGCTTTCCTAAGGTGTTCAAAAGAACCTAACAAAATAGGATGCCAAGGCATCTGCTCTCACTCAACGATGTTGGACAACCTACCCTATTGATGAAGACACCCTTTTTAGTCGTTGAAATCCTATCCTGGTCTCTTCCAAGATCTAAGGGATTAAGTTATAATATTCCTAGGCCGGTTCAAAGCCCCTTGAAAATACCATAACCCATTGCTTATGAGGATCTTATCTTGCGTTTCTTCCGAATACTTACAAGTATTTTTAGTTTAGGATTCTTCCGAATACCTAACCTTCATCTAAGAGATGGACATTTCCATGCCTCTTACAAGCCTAGATGGTGAAGCATTCATAAGCAAAGCAAATAAAGAACCAAAATAAACTTAAATATACCATTAAAAATAAAGTTTAAACAACCATTCAACCAACCACCACCAAATAAGTTAGTTCATGGTGGGGTTCGAAATATCCAAACACAAAGTCATGAAAATTCGTTCCAACAACCCACAAAATAATATAAAGAAATAGCAGCAAAAAGGGAAGTGAGAAGAAGCCTTCGACGCGCCACCAGAGGTCTCCTCTCGGCCACCACGAACCACCTAGCTCGCTAGCTCCTTTCGGCGCCTAGCTTGCCACTCCTTGGAGCTTTATCAATGGAGGAATATTCCAAGGAAGAAGAAAGGAAAAAGAGAAAATAAAAATCTGATTTTTCTGCTCTATGCGTGTGCTCCCTCTCTCTCTTCTCTCTCCCATGAGGTGTCATATATAATAAATAAAATATCTAGGGGTAATGATAAGTTTGTTGGGTGAAAAATACCCCTCATACCCCTAGAATCACATTTTGTGCATGAATCTTATCCTCCAAGTGGCAGTGGTCCATTGGTAGCTCTGGCAGGCGATTACAACAGTTCTCCACGTGCAGGGACAGCTGTCCAGTGCCAGCTGTCCTGATGCAGAAATATCTTTTTGTCCTTTTCTGCGCCAGAAATGCCAAGGCCTTTCAATCTGCTCTAGCAACGTGTGATGCCGCGGCATTACTTCCCAAAGAATCCTTTTTCTTGCTATTCCCTGCACACCATAGACAAACTGCACCTTTCCCTCAAACAACACCATTGAGAAATAAAATAGTACAACCACCACAAATGCAACTATATGCAACTACATGATCCTAAAATGACTAAAATGAGCTTTTAAACAAACAATAACTTAAGTGGAAAAGGCTTTAAAAGTAGCCTTTTTAGGAAGTTAACACATATACATAACAAAATACCGGAAATACAAATATATTAAACAGTAACAAAAACATGTATCACCAAAGTATAACAAAAAGGGCATATAGGGACATACAGTGGTACAAAAATGGGGAGTGATCAGTCCTCCTGATGCCAAGTCTGCTAGTCTACTGTTTGCCACTATCTAAAAAGGTTAAAGATTTACAGATTTATCTAAAAAACACAGTGTGCTCCTTGTAGTGTATAAAAACATACATATAAAATACTTCACTAAAAATCAGTTCATCAAACATGTTTCAAAAATATGAACACTACTCACACCCGATCACCAGAATATGTAAGTTCCCCAGAACCATACACCTACATGTACACCCGGTAAGGGCCTTATACGTATAGCATAAGGACTTGCGATATGTACTTACCCTGTGCACAAAGCAGAGGAGTCCGTAGTAAGGTCTTACAAGTCATAAATTAGACTTGATATACTTCCTCCAATAATATCCCCATGATAGTAATAAATATGCATGTATTCAAGTGAAAATGGTAGTTTAATTCAATAAAACAATAAAATATTTCATAATCAGAAATCATATACAAAATTGCAGTAACTATAAATCATATAAAAATATACGGTAAATTAGATATCATATAAATAGTATTCATAAAATCAAGTATAATGTCGTAAAAATATTCAGTATCATCAGAAAACTAAAACAATTCAGATAGGTAGTTCAAATCAGTAGTGTAACACCATCATGAAACTCCCCTGTACCAGTCTGAGTAGTCTGATAAGGAACCATACTACTGGGTCTGCCGATCATGATCAGCGGCAATGCTAGATCATTCGAATCGAAAAATCTATATCATAATCCTAATGTAAATAATAATAACATTTATTTAAACAATTTACTGAACATACGAGTAACTCTCGAAAAATGTGGATCGTGTAGATCTTTTAGAGGAGAAGCACCGGATCTGGTGGACCCTCAGTCGGGAGAAACATGAGTAACTTCATAAAAATATATTCCTAAATCAATTCCATAATCAAATCTTATATAAATAAGTAAAATGCTAAAAATATTAAGCATTTTCGAACTAACAGGCTTGATTTGAGGCTTTCTGGTTAGAATTTGTGAAAACGGATTGCAAAATCGGGCTCAGGATGTCGAAAAACATCAAGATAGAGGTTTTACGAAAAAAGTTAGGCTGAGCGGGTTAGGTCGGGAAGATAGGTTAGGTTAACCAGATTCTAGAAGTCCACCAAGCAGTGGACACATGCAGGGGCGACGCGTGCGAGGCTCGGAAAAATTTTGAAATAATTCCTATATGCTTTTTAAGGGTTTTTAGACACTTACCAAGCTCGGTTCACAATAGTGAAAGACGGAGAGCTCGATTTCGAAACGTAAGAAAATTGATTTTCGTCACCCCCTCACACACCGACGACAACAGAGACAAGACAAACAATGTGGACTCGGGATGATGCAAATAACACGATGGTATGGGAGGTGTCAAAAACGGAGTAATGATCGACGACGAAACATCGATGGAAGAATTCTTGCTAAAAGAGAAAACTTGAAGAGAGAGAAAAAGAGTTTAAACTTTCCAGAAATGGAAAGTTTCAGTATTTTGGGGTTTTTAAACCCAACATTTTGGAAAATGGTATAATTACACCATAAGTTCTCTAGTTTTTGATACTTTCTGAATTTGGATATGAAATTAGTTAAAAATTCAGTTTGGTTCCCAAATTGAAATTTAATTAAAATTTCAACCTAATCCCCGGAATTAATTTTAAGGAAATTTTTTGCCCTAAATTGGGGTGTGACATAATTTCTTATAGGCTGGTACAAGATTAATTCATTATTGTATTTATGTTCTTCTGAAAAAAAAATATTTTAATGTTTTTTATATATCATGAATCTACAAAGAAAAAAAATGAGAAGACCATTTTTTTTTGAATTGTTGCAGTATCATACACCATTGCTTCTAAAGTTATAAAGAGGTTTCCAACTTTTAGTTGTTCAATCGCATACACCTTAAGTAATATTAAACAATTTTTATTTCATTTAAACCCCATGCTAATGTCAATGACCTTGCGTAGAACAACGATATTCTCGTACTCTGTTGTGCACTGATAATAGAAACTTACCACATTGTCAATTTCTAAATTAATATGATATGTAATAAACATGTAAGTGACAATGATAACTATAAAGAGGCAAGTAATGAGAGCACATGATAATGCATCAATTCAAGCGGAAAATATTCTTCTCATTCTTTTAGATTCATAAAACATAAAAACATTAAGCAAGTCAATAAAGAATTGATCTTGCACTAACTTAAAAGAAATTAAAAAAAGAAACCTCAAAAAGTGAACCCATAATAAAAAAATTAAGTGATCAAAATGTGAATTTACTTTTAATTGAATGACCAAAATGTAAATTTATGCAAAAAATATTGAATGACCAAAATGTATTTTTTTTTTAAAAAAGTTAACATATGTTTGAGGTTTAATGATAAACTGACCTAATTGTTATAATCAATTAATTTAGTGATTTACTTATGACTTTTTGAAATAATCTGAGTCAAACGTAAATATATTAATAATATAGTGGCTTTATGCTATAATTTACCATTTTAAAATTATTTGTTACTTCTATGCGAACCAAATCCTTCAAACGGTGTCGTCCCGGTCCAAATACATAACGATACAAACAAAACCCGCGAACTCTAGCTCCACTCTCTCAAGTCTCGAGAAACAGTATTTTTTTAATCTTCAAATTTACTCTAAAATCATGAGTCGTAAAAGAGACAAACCCTACTTCTCCCGCCACCCCGCCGCTTCCATCTCTAAACGGCGTCGTCCTCTGCCACCTCACCCGCGGCCCTTGGTTGAGAATGAGGACAAGCCACTCGCCAAGCCTAAGCCGCCACCGGCTGTTGTCGTCATGGGCCTTCCCCCAAATTGTTCAGTGCTCGATTTGAAGTCGAGGTTTGAGATCTACGGCTCAATCTCCCGCATCCGTATCAATGGCGATGCCGTCGGTTACATACTATATCGCTCTAAGGAATCCGCCGAGTCTGCCATTGCCGCTTCCCTTGATTCCTCTTTCGGCATTACCGTCTATTCCAAAAGGGTAATTATGTATTTAACGTGTGTTGTTTTTGTCAATTTCTTGTTTGGTTGCTTTGAAGTGTGAGAAAGTAGGAGAAAAAGAAAAGGATGAATTTGATTGCACTTTTTGGTAATTGAATGGTCGCTTTATTTGGAGCCTAATTTAGCTAAATTAAACCAAGTTCGTTAGAGTTGAAACTAAAAGAAAAGTCGATTAAATTGAAAATCTTTCCCTTTAACGAGGAAGTAAAATTCGGATTTAGAGATTTAAGGTGGAATTGAAACTGAAAGAGACAAATAACTTGAAATTTCTGCCCTTCAATGAGGAACTCTAGTTTAAAAAATTAGAGCTTTAAGGTGAAACTGAAGCTTAAAGAGTCGATTATATTGAAAGTTTTGCCCTTTAATGAGGAAACGATGTTAGAATTTACACCTTTAAGGTTGAAGTTCAACTAAAAGAGTTAATTAAATTGGAATTTTACCTTTTAATGAGGAACTGGTGTTAGAATTTATATATTTAAGGTTTAATTGAAACTGAAATAATTAATCATATTGAAAATTTTACCCTTTACTGAGGAACTGAAGTTACAGTTTGGAGCTTTAAGGTCGAGTTGAAACCAAAAGAGTGTTAAATTCAAAATTCTTTAATGAGGAACCTTACAATATAGAGTTTTTAAGGTTGAATTTGTAGCTAAATTAAATTGAAACTTTACCTATTAACGAAGAACTGAAGTTAGATTTAGAGCTTTAAGGTTTACTTCAAATTAAAAGAGTCAATGCAATGGATAATTTTACCCCTTAATCAGTAACTGAAGTTAGAATTTAGAGCTAGTAGGTTGAAGTGAAACTTAAAGAATCAATTAAATCGGAAATGTTACCTTTCAATGAGTAACTGAAGTCACAATTTGGAGTTTAAGGTTGAATTGAAACATCAAGATTCAATTAAATTGAATAATTTAACCTCTACTGAGGAATGGAAGTGAGAAGAACTTAGAGTTCATAAGGTTTAGTTGAAACTAAATTACCGTGTATTGTAATAACACTGAAGTTAAAATTTAGATCTTTAAGTTTGAATTGAAACTAAGAGAGTCAATTAAATTGAAAATTTCACCCTTCAATAAGGAACTGAAGTTAGAATTTACAGCATTGCAGTTGACGCTCAAAATCAAGAGTTTTGTCTTAATAAAAAAAATCAAGAGGAAATTCTGAATTATGATTTTGCTTGCAGGTTCAAGTTTTGTGGGCAACCGATCCTTTAGCTCAATGGAGAGACGGAGTAGGGGTTAATGCTAATAATGGTAAAGGGCCAACATCTTCATCAAAGCTTTTGCGGCCTGAGGTGCCTTTAAGCAGGCATGGGAGAATTAATAAACTTGCATCAACTGTAGTCAACCCAAGAACAACTGATGATGGTTCTTCAATGTTAGAATTGCCATTTAAAGGTAGAGAAGTTGTTGCCTATGATGATATACTCTAATTCAGGACTTCAGTTCTCTTGGGACCCGTCTTCTTTGTAACAATAGTTCAAGTTGATATGCTTAGCTTCATTTTCACTGTAATATATAGAATCTAATGTCTTTAGGGTGAAAATGGTTTATGTGTTGGAGTTGGGGAAACGAGTTGAAGGAATGGTGTTGTTTTGGTTTATGGCCTTCTAATGAGACTCCCTCTAGTCCCTAGGGGCTAGGAATGCAGTGTTTTTCATTTTATTTACATTGATCATAGTTTTGTTATATATAGTTGATATGTTTATTCAAGTGTTTCCCTGAAATGAATAATGTCCAGCTTTGTTATCCGGATTTGAGTTGAATGTCGAGTATAGGTACGTGTCTGATATGGGTACATTAAGAAAAATGAAGTTCAATTTGCATTGACTTTAATGTGGTTTATAATGTTGGTGGACCTTTTAATTAGAGATTAGCAGTGTTAATTCTTATTGGTTTCATTTTTTTTGAAGTTCTGTGTTTGATATTTGGGTTCATCATACATTTCAAGCAAGGCTTTTCAAATTCATGAAAAAAATTAAATATATTATTGTAAAATATATACACCGCAAAAACTCATGAAACAGTGTATTATTGTCGTGTTTGTTTGTTACACCAGCTGATGATAGACAACCGCACACTTGGAGAAGAGCCTTTGGTTGCCAGTTTTGATTTTCTCGGACCTTATTTGCCTTCATCATTGCAGTCGTCTAAAGCAGTGCTTGGTTGGAAATAATTGATTAGGTAATTGAATGTACTGTCAATAAAAGGAAAGTGCATTCAAATATCTGAAAAATCAATACGAATAATAATTAGAATATTTGAAACATTGAAGTTAATATAAGAATCTCCACTGCCTTCTCTAGTGTCGCCTGGAAAGAAAATGGAAACCAGATCCCCCCCAAACATAAAAAATCACTAAAACGGAAGGAAAAAGAGAAAGAAGATGAATGCTGCATTGTCCTTTATAGGAAGAGCCAACGGCAACAAGAAAGGCTTGTCTGCGACTCTAGCAGCCAATCCAGGAGACCTTAAGCTTCGAGCTTCATTTTCAGACACTAAATTCACTCATGGCTCCACCATAAACCTCAACGACTTGTTAATCTCCGTCGAGAAGCCCGGTTTTTTCCTCGTGGACTTCAACACCACTAAAAAGGTGATGACTTACTTTATGCATTGCAAGTAGTTTCCCAAAATGACGGCTGCTTAATTTGCCTCAGTTTTCTATTTTCAATCTCCATTTTTTGTACCCAGGATGTTCTGTTTCAGTTCATGAAGGCGTTTAAAGTGAAGGGAAAACAGGTGAATTGGACGTACACCCACACGAGGAACGACCGTCGGACAATACTCGATGGGAGCTTGATGTTTGATAGATCCAACAAGTTATCCGCAAGCCATGAGCTCGGATCGGTTAACTGCAAGTTGAGATACAGTTATGTGCATAAAGGGTTGACAACGTTTGAGCCTTGTTATGATTTGGCAAAGAAATCATGGGACTTGACCGTCTCAAGGAGAGTTCTTGGTGGTGATCTAATCAAAGCTAACTATGAGACATCGAGTCAGGTTTTGGGAGTAGAGTGGTCGTGTAGCTCACTAGGCTATGGAGAAGGAAGAAGAGTTAAGGTACTATCTGTTTCTTTGTTTCAATATATCAAATGATATTATTTTTTAATTTATTAGATTAAGTTAGACATTAATTTAGCAAATAGGTCAATTTTTCTCTCTCTCATCATAAACCATCCAAAAAGATGAGAGATGAGAGTTGTTTACGTAAACTCAACAAGCTACTGAATTAAAATATTATTATAAACATATTATTACGTGATTAGAATTAAAATAAATATCTAATCTAACTTTGTATAATAATATATGTAGTCTCTAAAATTTTATATATTTTACCAATTTTATCTTAACTCAAAATAATTTAATAAATTTTATCTTTCATAATTAAAAAATTCATCAAATTTACATATATTTTTTTATAATATTGTAAAACCAAACAAGTTCATCGAACGAGTTCATCGGATTAAAACAATTATTGGATATCTATATTCTATCATACAACAACAATAAGTTACTGTTAAAATGTTATTATACCACAAAATTAATTAAAAATAATATAATATTTATGAGAATAAAAATTAAAATACACTACTTTTAAATATGAAGGGTTGAATTGTTTCAGATTAAGACTAAATTAATTAATTATATGTTTTAAGGCTAAAAACGTTAATATACTAGATCACGTCATTATTATGTCCAATATTTAACAATAAAGTAATCTATTTATAATAATATTCTACTAATTAAATAATATTTTTATAATTTTTTAATAATAACTTATTTATTTCTAAATCCGTAGTTAAATAACTTCAGAATAATTTTGTCTAAAAAATATTATTCCACCAAAGAGGCTGCAACAAAAATCATAAACAACAGGAGAATAAATCGAAGCCCAACCAAGAAGCTTGACCAAAATACCCACAAAAGTTAACAAACCGGACCAAGTGGTTACTGATTAGATTCTTTCCTTCATGAAATAATTGAATATGAATTTGTCAAGTTCCTTGATGAATCCAAAGCTTGGAATTCCAGGTTTCAGCATCTTTCAATCTGGCTGAGGGCTTACACGCACCACAGTTAAGTGTCGGGAGTATCTGGAACTTTCAACCATAGTCTCTCTGTAGCCTATATTCAATATGTTTCAAGAATTGGGTAGCTCTACACGTGTTGTCTCATTGTTTCGATTTCGGATGTGAATTATATGTATTTAGGTTTTATTTAAAAAAAAATATCTTCATATATTTAGAAGATTTATGAATGATTATATTATTTAGTGTTCGGTTAATATTTCTGAGACATGTTGCGGAGTTGCTTAAGCGAGATTGGGTTGTACGGATCCAATACGTGGCAAAGACAAGGAAATAGAGCGGCAGACTACATGACAAAGATTACGACCAGGAGCAACCTTGAATGTATCAAGTTCGAAGAAACCCCTGCTATGGTGTTTGACGCTGCTGCATGAAGATCACAGCAGCTGTTTTCTTTACTTAATTAATCAGCCTTTTCGTTTGTTACCATTTTTTTTAACAAATTAAGGGCAGCAACAACCTAACTTATCATTTTTCCAGTATTAAGTAATATGTTTGGATGTGATGCAACCCTAATATGTGTTGCTTCATGTTTTTCCCCTCCAAAATGAGACATCAACATTAAAGGTATAAAATCTGTATACTAATGATACCTTAAATATAAACTCTAAATACATAAAAAAATGGATAAACCACACGTTTAGTATCACAATTATCACTTCTGTTCCGTTTTAGTTATTCAACTATTTTTTATTCAAAAGAATACATAATATTACGTTTTGGTTTTATTTTGATCATCTACTGTTAAAAAAATTAATAATTATAAACATATCATCATAAGATAATGCCACGTCCTCATTAAAATATTAAAAAATGTCACATCTATAGTTCTATTAGTTTTTTAAGAGAGATTAAAAAGAAATGAAAACGTAATATTAAGTATAATTTTGAAAAGAATAATAATCGGATGATCAAAATTGATATATTGTTCGGTCTAAATTGAATTCTTTTAGAAATCCACAAAAATCCAAATTCACTAAATACAGGATCATGAATACCACAAATACAAACTCAAAATCAAATCAAAATTAAAGATTTTGTCCCTCCTGAATCAGTAACTTATTAAATACTTCATTCTACTTTCTATCTTTTCAAACCTCATATACATACATATATACACACACTGATTTCATTTGATTATGTTACAGTCTGAGTTTCTCATTGAACAAAAATGGCGAGTGGAGATGGCAGAAAAAGTTCAGAGACTTACAACTCGATTCCTCTATCAGATGACGAAAATGGCACTTCAGCTTTAATGGATACTACCTCAAATCAAAGAAGGCCTGCAGGATGGACAGCTGTTTCTTTCGTATTAGGTGACGTTATAATCGTTATTTTACCGTTTCGATTTGTGTATGTATATATAGGGATGGACTGAAGGGATGTTGAGATGGGATCGTTCTCTCGAAATTTCAAATCTGTACTTATAACATAAAATTTTATGTATGTTTCTGTGTATATATATATACATGTATGTTCAATATGTGCAGCAAATGAAACGTGTGGGAGACTAGCATCATACGGATTGATGGCGAATTTTATGGTGTACATGCAAAGGGAGTATCACATGAACCAGGTTCAGGCAGCTACCATCCTTAATGGCTGGTCAGGTGCGTCAAATTTGGCCACGGTTATTGGCGCATATGTTTCCGATGCGTTCATCGGTAAATTTTGGACCATTGTTCTCGGATCCTTGTCAATTATCCTGGTATATGTCCTCATAATTTCGTAAGTGTTTAACAAAATTTCTTAAATACTATATGAACATAATCAATAACATGTGATTTCAACCACTAATCGGTAGGGGATGATAACCATGACATTAACGGCTTTACTTCCACCTCTGCGACCTCCGCCGTGCGCTAATGAAGAACTACAACACGGCCAATGCATACCCTACAACAACGCCCAACTCGGTGTTTTGATGATCGGAATATTCTGGTTATCAATCGGAAACGGCGGAATCAAACCTTGTTGTGTCCCCTTCGCCGTCGATCAATTCGATTTGACTACTGAAGAAGGGCGGAAAGAAAACAAGAGCTTCTACAATTTATACTACACAACTCAAACGGTGGTCTTGGTGATCACTCAAACTGCTGTGGTTTATATCCAAAATGATATTAGCTGGGCATTAGGGCTTGGAATCCCAACGCTTTGTTCGATCGTCGCCATTGTTTTGTTCTTCATTGGAACGAGAATTTTTGTATATATAAAGCCCGAAGGAAGTGTTTTCACCGGTGTCGCGCAAGTGTTCGTTGCTGCAAACAGAAAACGCAGACTTCATCTTCCGGTTGATGGAGTCGACGGCCGATTCTACGACGACTCTCCGTTGAGGAGAAGGTTGCTTAGAGCTAGAGAACCCCATCTCACTACACATTACAGGTAATGTATTTAGTAATGTGAAACTCAATAATCTATTTTATTCATCCAACCATACTAAAAACGTGTTAATCTCAGTTGCTTAAACAAAGCGGCTCTAGTGATTGGTGATGAGGTAAACTCAGATGGCTCTTGTGTGAATCCATGGCGGCTCTGCACTATCCAACAAGTGGAAGATGTCAAATGCCTTTTAAACATCTTGCCAATATTCATAACCAGCATCCTCAGCTTCCTCGCCATGAATCAACAAGGAACATTCACAGTATCCCAAGCCCTAAAAATGGACCTCCGATTCGGTTCATTGTTTAAAATTCCCGCCGGTTCAATCAGCGTCATCACACTCATCGTCATCTCCGCATGGCTGCCGTTTTACGACAGAGTCTTGGTTCCGGCCCTCGAGAAGCTCACCAAACTCGAAGGCGGGATCACAGTTCTCCAACGAATCGGAATCGGAAACCTTTTCGCGATTGTTACGATGTTGGTTTCGGGATTAATCGAAATGAAGAGAAGAAGCTCAGCCCTCTCCCATGGCGGGGCCGATGGAGTTTCTCCGATGTCGGTCATGTGGCTGATTCCGCAACTTATTCTTATCGGCTTCATGGAGACCTTCAGTATCGTTGGACTGATCGAGTTTTACAACAAAGAGTTCCCAGAGAATATGAGAAGCGTTGGGAACTCACTGATTTATTTGACGTTTTCATTGTCGAGTTACGCGAGCAGCTGGATCATCGCCGTTGTAGAAGATGTTACAGGAAGAGATGGAACCAGCTGGTTGACGGACGATATAAACACAAGCAAAGTAGATAAATTTTATTTCTTGATAGCTGGGATTTCTTCGCTCAACTTCGTCTTCTTCATGTTTTGTTCTCGAAGATACCAATATAAGTGATGAATTTTGCCTGGAAACTTGGTTTTATTTTTCAGAAACTAGTAAATAATCATTTCTCCAAAATACCTTCGTTCTCCAGTAATTGTCTTCTATGTTCTTCCCAAACTGATTCTTTTTCTTCTCTCGGATTTTAAAAAGATGATTAATAATCGCCAATTCATCAGACAATAACTTCGGCAAGGAGTTCAAGTGATTCGTGTACAATATGGATAAAAGTAATTTATTTTGGATAAATCATTAAAACTGTTTTTCATAATTTTTTTTTGATTAAATTACCTTTAACTCAAGATGTCTTCTTTTGAATAAATAAGTTATTAGTTATCTAAAAATATATATAATTACCCATTTTCTAGAACGGTTATATTCTATATAATTATTTCTAATTTAAAATATTTTTGTATACTATTTTATTTTTTTCATTTTTTAGACTTCTTTAGAATTGCTAAAAGTATTTTTATTTTTCTATAAATGAAACATTTTTTTTTAATTTTAATAATTTTAAGAAGTAAAATATTTTTTTCGCGAATCAGATACTAACAAAAGATGTCAGATTAGCATTGTGATGTACATCTTGTATAAAAGCTAAGTTGAGATGCCATTTTATTTTAAAAATTTATTTGAACGTGAAACTTGAAATAAAGATTTAATTAAGATGCCATTTTGTGTAAAAACTTATTTGAATATTAAAACATTAAAAAAAACTAAAATTTGAGTTTAGCTTTCATGTTAATAAATAATTCTTTTATCAATTTGAAAATGAAAAAAAATCTAAAACTCTAACCAGAGGTGGGGTTAGACATGCGCAATGTGCGTAATGGAACAGGGCCCCTTAATAATAAGGACTCCAAAACGTTCACAATAAGGTTATTGGTATTACCGTAGATGATTAAACTATCAAAAAAAATCCAAAAAGCTTTGATCGAAGGAAGACATGAGAAATACCAATAATTAGCATTATGCTACAGCGGTAAAATTTATCTCATTTTTTTTGGCGTCCAACTCACTTTACGAAAAAAAACCTCTTTTTAAGAATTTGTACAATGCCTCTAACATCTTAACCTCGGCCCTAACTCTGAGTTAATTTTCACGCTGAGTTTCTCATTCAACAAAAATGGTGGACGAAACTGACAGGAAAATTCCAGAGACTTGCAGTTAAATAACAAATTTTGAACTACATAATTCAATAAAAATAATTTAAATATAAATAATTTTTATATTTTTTAATAAAAAATTATTAATTAAATTAAATAAAATTATTTAATGATTGTATCTATAACCAATAAATTATAAACATAAAAAAGAATTATTAAATATAGTTCATAAATATAAAAATCTTCAATCCGATTTTTTTTAAAAATTTTGTAATAATTAAAGTTTAAAATATGTATAAACTATATCCATAATTATAAAATTTGTTTTAGTGGTTAAGTTCTCTTTAGTTCTATATTTGATCTAAGTTTAAATCTCATTATGTCAATTTTTCATTCTTATTTTTTCTGTCATTAATTACATTTTAAGTTATATATGATATTGTGTAAAATAAAACCGGGTTGTCTTAGTGGATGGGGCGTCTTTTATCCACTCCCCTTGCCTAGGTTTAATTCACGTTAAAAGCAGTTTAGCTTATTTCTTATGCTTTGCTTTTCCTTTAACTAGATGGTAACACGTATCTGATTGGAAGAAAAATAATTAAAATTAAATTAATTTAAATTAAGAAGAAAAACTCTCAATCATATGATGACATGTGGCATCATCTGATTAGAGTATTAAATTTTATTCTATTAAATTAAAATTAGGATTAAATTGATAGATTATATAAATATTGAGGACCAAAACTATAATTATACATATTTCATTAACTGTCACATCACCTTCTCAATTAAAAATTAACGGAGAGAGGTTTGAATGAACCATTTAAATAGTTGAGTGGTTTATTTCATTGAATTAAAACATCGATGGTCAAAGTGATTTTTGACCATAGTTTAATGGTCACCCGTATAGTTTACCCTATAAGTTTGTAATGTACATATATTTATAATGTTTGTAATACAATGATATTATTTATTTTGAAAATAATATAATTACTTTTAAAACAATAAAATAGTTTAATTAATAGTTTATGATAAAAAAATATTATTAATTAATTTATATAGTGTAAATTCATTCTTCTCTTTTAAACTTTCTTATTCAACGTTTCAAATACTTGAAAAATATAGAAATATTATAAATTTATTTACAATGGTATATGTTACATGGTATATTATAAATATCTCTAAATTTGAGCAACCAATCCAGTTATTGGGCAAATTTAATTGAAGAGGATGTGATTTTTTTTTTCCCTTTCGATTTTGAGTATACAATTGATGTGGAGATCAACGGTTGTTGTGGGAATGTCTCATATTAGCGATGTTACGTCTGCAACTTTGCTTTGGAATGTCATTTTCCAATTAATTCTATTCCTCATACGTACCATGTCTCCAGCTAAAACCCAATTACTATCTCAAAATGAAACAATTCTGCCCAGTATTCTATTTGCTTCTAGAATTAATACGCAGCCAACTTTGATATATTTATGCTGTCATCCTCTCTTTAGTTTATCATACGAATGAGAATGAGATGCTCCTTCCATCACAATACTCTTCTTCTACTGCTTTGGACAAGTTCTCTAAACGATAAGGGTTCCTTACGGCTGGAAAATAAAAGAAAATTAGGTAAGGAATCTTAAAAGAAAGAGGTCTCAAAAATCAAATTCTTACTTATGTGATTGTTTTTAAAATATAATATTTTAATCATTTAAAGTTTGAATTTTAATATATGTTTTAATCTTTTTCTTATACCCAATGTTCTATATTTAATATTTATTTAGATGACATGAAAATGTAATATTTTTAATATATAAAATAGACTTAAAAAATTGGGTTTACTCGTGCAAAATATATTACTAAAGTTTAAGTTGATTCCAAATAACATCTTTTGGGTAATCCTACCAAGTCTAAGTGAGTCGCGGCTATCAATGTTTTTTATTTTGAATAGTACGAAGTGATTATAAGATTGAATGTGTTTATAGGCTTTTTTAATCATGGACAACTTATACATACTCTGCAGATGTAACTGCTCGAATTTTAAACCTTAAGAGAAAACAACATTTTTTTTAATTACCGAAGCAACTCAATAAGTTCGACTATCAATATTAAATCTCATAAATAAGAGAAAGAATTAAGATATTGTCTTGTTTGTATCAACCACAAGTGACTTGGTGAGGCATCTCCTAATTTTATCTGGTCAGTTATGTGATATGTACTCTTGTATCAGCCGCAAGTACATCTATAACTAGTTTTATCAGGCCATTTCAAATGTAAATATGTGAGTATAAAGGTCTCGGTCGATAATTAGTTCGATGGATCAAATAGAACAAAAACATGTCAAATTAGGTATTTTAGAGGGTTAGTCTCGAGTTCAGAACTCGAAATTAGATCTTATGAAGTACATCTATTTTAGGATCTCAAATAGATCTTATGAAGTCATTAAACTAGGTATTTGGGTCGACACCTATGAAGTTTGGAAATTACCTTACGATAGTATATGTTCAAAGATAACTCTCAAACTCTAGACATTAAATGCTCACACCCCTGACATCTATGGTGCTCGAATCCAAGTCATCAAGGAATAACAATAATTTCTTTACTATGAATGCCACTTGGTTTGTGCTATTTTAAGAACTTTAAATGATGTCTAAATGATCTCTAACCTTGATGAATCCTATATGAGGAAAATATATGATCAAATGGCATCAAATACATCAAATTTTATATCATCACAACAAGCCCAGCAAATTTAAGCATGCCAAGTAAAATTTTGCTTTGTTCTAACTTATTCGAGCTTACCATTCTACCAATTCATGACCAAGACACTTTGAATACATATTTAGCACAACAACATACATAATCTTCATGGCATTCAATCATCTAACAAGCTTGCTAACACTTTCAATCTTAAGCCATGACAATTTAAGCCTACAAATAAGACACGCATCATCAATAAGCTTAAAATTACACTTACAAATCAAAATATGGATAGTCATAATCAAAATAACATATCAAACTCAAAATTACACATCATCACCTATTCACAAGCATAACTCAAAATAAGGCACTTACACATACCACCTAAACGAGTATTTACAAAATGATCAAAATATACACTTACGAAAAAGAAAGTTACATTCTTGTATATGTATATATGATAAAGTAACTATTACAAATTTTTTACGTTCTTTACGATAAAAAATCGACCAATTAAATTTAAACTTGTGTTTCAAATTTAACTCATCATGTGGCTTCAGTGATTAAAGAGAGTTTTGTCTTTCTTAGAGGTTCATGGTTCAAACAACTACATTTGTAGAGTGTGTGTTATCAATGGTTAAAAACAATTTATAAACAAATACTGCCATTACAATCACCCAGACTTTTCAAAAAAATTCAAATAATTAAATTCCCACTATATAATATCTTAATATTCTATGGTTGAATAGATGGTTCATAAATATCACTTTTTTTAATAGTCTCAAATGATTACAATATAATATTTTTGTTGGTAGAGGTACCCTACAAATTCAATTGCTTGAACATAAATATATAGGCAAAACAATATTTTCTTTTGCCAATGAAATCACCAGATAAATCCTCATTAATATTACTTTTAAATATAATATAATTTAAACATTAAATAAAACTTTATTTACAAATTATATCGAATGTTTACCTTTTCATTTAACTTTATTTATTCCTTTTCTCCATTGTTGACGAATTGTTATTGCCAATAAAAAGATGCCGACTTGTTATTTTTATAATGGAAGTTGGAAATTTTAGAATATAAAGGCTTTCCTTGGCATCCCAGAAATGCAACACAACTACTTACAATAAAGCTTTTTCTTCTCATTTCCCCTCTTTCTTTCTCTAATTTCAAGCTTTTTATATTTAAACAAATGGGGAACAGAGGCTCCTCAGCCAAAATCGTGGAAATTCACTCCAGCAGCCAGTGGAGAGGCCATCTGGAGGCCTCAAAGCAAAGTAACAAACTGGTATCATTCATATATTCGTGTAATTTTGCGTATCTTTGGTAAAAAGTTTGGGTGATTAATCTGTCTCTGTAATTTTCCATGGATTGTGGAAGGTGGTGATCGATTTCTCGGCGAACTGGTGCGGACCCTGCAAAATGATGGAACCGACGATTGAAGAATATGCCAATATGTATGATGATGTTGAGTTCCTCAAGATTGACGTCGACACTTTACCCGTAACACTCTCTTTTCCCTTCTCTCGCTTCTCATTTTATTTTGTTTTTCGTGTATACATGTGATCAAGAATGGGCGGGTTAATCGATAAACAGGACGTGGCCGGAGAACTCAAAGTTGACGCTATGCCAACCTTCGTTCTTGTTAAGAAAGGCAAGGAGGTATGCAGGTTGGTGGGAGCTAGAAAGACCGAACTCCAGAAGCTCATTGAGAAACACAGGCTTCTTAATTAGCCTTATTTTTCAATTTGGGGAATCATGAGAGCATAAATAAATAAAAATTGGCTGATGAATAAGCACTGCTCTGAGGTTATGTTTGTTATATACACACCCATTGAAGGGTTAATCTCACTTATTTTGTATCAAATAAGGTTGATCAACAATTCAATCTTTTTTATTATCATATAGTAATTACATCTTCCTTTTAAAGTTTATTATTGATGCAGTGGATAAATATTAAAATTGTATATTAATTATGATTAAATGTATAACGTGATATATAAATTTTGATTTCATGTAGTTATACATTTAAAATTGACTTCCATTCAATTCTACATATGAAACTTTGATTTTAATTTAGTTGTGTGTATTCTAAAAAATGAAAATTTTCACTTATTTTCATATTGGACAAGTATAATTATTATTAGCATCATTGCTTTTTTGTGATAAAGGAAGTTTACATATATCAAACAGTGGCCAGTATCCCTTGGCCATTGCTGTCTACCGCAGAAGCGACACAACCTCCAGAGGTGGGCTGTAGAAAACCTTACCTGTGCCATGCCTTAATCCACCCATCTTAGCTAGCATATCCGCAACTCTGTTGGCATCCCTGTAAGCATGTCGAATTTGCACCTCCCTGTCTGTTCTTGTTAGGTCGAACACCGATATAAAAGATTTTGCATTTTCCGTTGGATTACGAACTGCTATCCACTTCTAAAATCTATCGCTCTCCTAATTCCAAGCAAGCAGCACCCTCATATATTCCTCAGAGCTCCGCTTCAACAACTAAGCAAACACCTGCAGTCTTTGAAAACCCAAATAACCAGTCACCGCCAAAAGCGAATAACACCACCGCAAGATGCAAAACCAACCGCATTATCACGAGCCCCATCGTATTAAGCTCGCACCAGTTTTGATGAGGGAGCCATCGTAAACTTGCTATCCTATGTCGATGCGTTCATGCTTATCATTATTAAACTTCGTATATAACGTTGCACATTTTACTAAATTTATAATTAGTTTTGATATTTATCCTTTCATGTTTATCATTAAATATGAATTTAGGTTTAATGTGTAATCTAATGTAATTGTATATTTAATATTGTTAAAGAGACAATATCTCCGCTGCCCCGTTCGATCTATCCCTAATCCATAAATGCAATACATGAATATGCAAACTACTGTCGATCAGTTTCATGTTATGTTCGCTATGAAGCAGTGAGGGAGCCAAATAGGCAATGAGAGGACTCGATGCCCTCCTAAAAGTTTTGATTTAGTGACATTTTAAACCCTTCTAAATGTTTGTAGTTAAGTTAGACATTACTCTCCCTTAAATTCTGAATATAAATACTTAATAAACCCCCAATTTTCTAAATTTTAATAATTTGATCCCTTCCAAAATCGATCTTAATAAAACTTCTCATGATAATCCTTCATTACAGTAGTTGTGTTGCTTCGACTCCTCAATCGATTGAATTAGCTTTGTCCAAAACCTGTATACATACATATTTGAATATGTATATAAAGATATAATCACTCCCCAAATACATGGAAAAACTTTAACAAAATAAATAGAGGATGCCCCTTTCGAATAACATAGGTGAAAACAGGAATGGACCTAGAGGAGGCTGGATGAGCTTGGTCGCGCCCCAAAAAATTTCAAATTTCTATATATTTTAGATATTTTCTTTATATTTTCTATTAAAAATATATTTTCGTCTCCTTATAATTTTATAAGTTCTTTCCTATTTATAATTTCAGAAGTTCTCCCCCACTCCAAACATAAAATAATCCTGCGCCCGTCCCCGGGTGAAAGTAGTCCAGGAAATAAAGAGTTTGGGAGTTGGATAAGAGAATTATAATGGCAATACTTCAATAGATGTAACTCAAATATTTTCAATATTCATTTCCACCAAAAAGGAGGGGAAGGAGATTCAGTCAGTGCATAAGATTCCATGAATAGATCCTACGCATTAAAATTGACAGCAATATAGAAATATACCCATCTCAAAGGGCATACCATTGCTCTCTTTTCATTTCCAAAAATAGATTCATGATTATATTTGTACATATCACGACAATTATTGTCATCCGAGCGGACGTGTTTCGACCAAAACATCCCCTTGAATGATTGTTCATTACGAGACGCATTGCAAACCGGAAGTAGTACCATAAAGCTCTCTGTCTCAGGCTAGGGGCTATCAAGCTCAGAAATTCTAGTACCGTAAAGAAAGCACAGAATTTATCCAGAATTAGCGTTTTATTAAATTGTGGCTATATAAGCATTAGAGCATTTCAGAACTTACGTAAGAAGGCTCTTGCATCAAACCGAGTTGGTGGTAGTTCATATAGTCGATTCCACTCAAGCGTAAACAACATAAGATCTGTTCAGGCAACTCTTCAGTTCGGTTTCCCTGTTTTCAAAAGGAAACATTGGGTAAATGTCATTATAAATGAAAAAAGTTTTTTTTTTTAAAAAAAAACTTGTTCAGGGAAAGTGGAGAAGGGGATCTTGAAGTTGCAAGAGAGATATCGGAACTTGCCTGAATCGTTAGGCCAACATCTAAGATACAAAGCTTTAGCCTATATAGGAATGCATCAAAGCCTTTTCTAGAGATGTAACTGAATCTGTGCATATCTATATCAATCTCGAAATAATTTTCTCCCTGCGAAAATTCAATTGAGTAACTAGTGAGCCTAAGAAAGAACCATAACAAGACAGTGTATCCATACGATTCTAAGGCTACCCAAACGTGCTCCATTAGGAGCACATCATTCAAATATTAGTTATCCAAAAGTATTTGAATCTATACTATATATGTCAACCCTTAACATACAAGCATGCGTACCAGTAGAACTCATGCTGAGGACGTGAAAGAAAAGGCTTTTCGTTGTATGCCTGCATAAGTTTCCTCTCTGCAGCACCCATGTGAAGATCTTCTACATTTGCAACACGACCTAATTTTTCAACCGTCTCGAAATGGAACAATTGTATCTACAGGGAATCCTTTAACCTTTTCAACTTCGTCATCTATCAACCTCTGTTTTCAAAAAATAAATGCGGACTCAATACTGTAAACTTGGTGTAGATCAATTAAGAAGCAGGGAAGGAATCTATGAAGAAATTACCTAAATGTAAAACATAAAGGAGAGTAGACAATCAAATAAAATGTTGAGTGGAGAATACAAAACTTGTGGTTAACGTACAGTATTCTAGTTTTAACCAGTGGCGGATCCAGAAATTTATAAATGGGGTTCAAAATTTTAATTTTCTTTTCTTAAATATAATGGGGGTGCAAAAAAATTTCTTCCATTTTTCTTTAATATATTATACTAAATTTCACTTTTTTTTCCTAAATAATGGGATGCTTGACCCCTAGGGGGCTTAGTGCATCCGCCCCTGGTTTTAACCGAATTCCTGTAGTTCAGAACTAATTCGGTTCATTGGTTTTTAAAACTAAAAAAACAATGACATCTTTTATAGTATTCTCAAGTAACTTTTCACTAATTTAGAAATAAAAACTGAACTGAAATTGGATTATGGATTAGTGTTATAGTAGGAAAATCACCTAATGATTTCTATTCAGTGCTAGAAAGGAAGATATAGACATTTAAATTTTGGACTTGATGCCTGAGGTGCATGGTATAGCCTCAGCAGATGCCATTTTTTATGGCTTCTAAATTCATAACATAGTTTCAGAAGCCTTCCCGTTAAGTTTCCTAGTTGACTGACTTAATTTGTAATTTTCAAGATTTTAGGTATAAGTTTCTCAATCCAAGAAAGTTTAAAATTATTTTTACAAGTATCAGTCGTACCCTTAAGTTTTCTTGAAAGTGAAGCGGAAGCTCCTTCGAATAACTGTCAGAAAGCTTAAAGTAAAGAACGAAACTCATCCCTTCACCATCAGTTTCACTCTGAAAAAGTGCAGCAGGATACAAGGGAATCTGCATTGCCACAAAATGTAAGCATTAAGCTCTACAGAGATTTTGGAAACAATGAAGATAACCAAGTCAAACATATACTCATGTCTGCCACTCACACCTAAGTCCAAGTAACATAGCCAAGAGGACCATTACAGCATGCTTACTTCCATGATTCCATCCCAAGGAAAATATAACAGAAACACATTCATTCAAATGAGCAACTATATACCTGAACATTTACGACAAGGATAGAAGGTAGTTTCTCGGAATGGCTAAAACCGGGAGTTCAACAAATCTAGCTAAGTGATCTATTTTTCGTGGAGATAGGAATACATCAACTCCAAAAGGATAATATGCAGCATGGTTAGGTGCAAAATCCTTCTTCTTATCCCTGCAATAAACAAATAATGTGAGAAACTGTCATGGTACTAACAGATTAAAAAATTCTAAATGTTTCATACATGCTTTTGCTTCAATAATTTTATATAAAAAATAAATAAATTCCAAGTATGCCTTAAATGAATGAACTAGGGACCAAGTTTTTTAGTCGTACCTAAAATAGTTTTCTCCTCGAGTCTTGAAAGTACCAGGATCGATATGAGACCAACAATCAAAATTTTCTTTTCTATGGGGCAAAAAGGTACCTGAGAACCTGCTTTCGGTCGCTGAAGAAGCATCTTTGAAGAAACTGAATTGAAACAGATATTGGATAAAGTTAAAAATCCTAACAGAAAATTTCCGATCTGTACTACATTACTGCTTTCTAAGAGACTCGATATTTTAATATGGATCAATTACTGAACAGCCATAACAGAAACCACCGATTTTGTTTGTACATATTTGAGTGTAGATGATTGATGAAAAAATTAGTCTAATATCTCTGCAATGAAAACAACTTCACATGCATTCTGCAGTCTTGTAACAAGACATTCATGATGAACACTAACTAAAGATTAGAAAGTTCAACGGATAACATAGATACTCACATAATGTGGTGCTGGAATGCTCGTCTTTCCACTTAAATGGAAGTTTTAAGGCAGGCTTTTTTCTCGCACTAGGCGGGCTAGAGAGGAGCGATCTTCTCTTTTCAACTGATGGGACAGTAGATGCAAGACAAGGTAACAATTGCTTGGAAGAATGCCACAATTATCCAACAATCCTTCCCCTTTCCCAGGACCTTCATCCACAGAGGCATATCATCAAGGAATACGGGTTCCTTTGCTTCATTTGAATGCCCATAGGATTTTGTTAGGGGATTGT